CAGTCAACTTGTGGGGCAGGGATCTGCTCACACAAATGGGAGTCATAATGTGTAGCCCCAGTGACGTGGTCACTGCTCAAATGCTGGGACAGGGATACAGCCCAGGGAAAGGTCTAGGAAAACAAGAGAATGGTATTTTACAACCTGTTCCGATTGCAGGACAGAAAGATAAGAAAGGCCTTGGAAATTTTTAATGGCGGCCGTTGACATGCCTGCACCCCAAAACTGTGCCGATCCCATTATTTGGCAGTCTGATGAGCCAGTATGGGTTGATCAATGGCCTCTTACCTCTGACAAACTTGCTGCCACTCAACAGTTAGTGCAGGAACAGTTGGACGTGGGACACATTGTCAATAGCACCTCTCCCTGGAACACCCCTATATTTGTGATCAGGAAAAAATCAGGGAGATGGAGGTTGCTGCAAGACCTCCGAGCTGTAAATGCCACCATGGTGCTCATGGGAGCCCTGCAGCCAGGGCTGCCCACTCCAGTAGCCATCCCACAAGGCTACTTTAAAATAATCATAGATCTTAAGGACTGCTTTTTCACTATTCCGCTACACCCCGCTGACCAAAAAAGGTTTGCATTCAGTGTTCCTTCCACAAATTTTAGGGAACCCATGAAAAGGTAACAATGGAGAGTACTGCCCCAAGGTATGGCTAACAGCCCTACTCTCTGCCAAAAATACATCGCTGCTGCCATCCAACCAGTTAGGAATTCCTGGAAAAGTATGCATATTATACATTATATGGATGATATTCTAATAGCAGGACAATCAGGAGAACAGACACTTTCCTGCTTTGCTCACCTTAAGAGGCTATTAACACAGGCGGGGCTACAAATCGCCCCAGAAAAGGTGCAGCTCCAAGACCCATATACATATCTAGGGTTTCAAATATGTGGTCCCAAAATTACCAATCGGAATGCGGCCATCCACCGAGATCAGTTAAAAACCCTCAATGATTATCAAAAACTTCTAGGAGACATAAATTGGCTCCGACCGTATCTAAAATTGACAACCGGTGAATTAAAACCTTTATTTGACATCCTAAAGGGCGACGCGAATCCCCAATCCCCTAGGGAAATGACGCCTGCCGCATCAGCTGCTCTCCAAAGAGTAGAGAAAGCTATTGCTGCCCAGTTCGTGACTCATGTAAACTATTCTATGCCACTTTCCTTCATCATCTTCAACACAACAGTCACCCCTACTGGGTTGTTCTGGCAAAACCAGCCCCTTATGTGGATTCATCTGCCCTCGTCTCCAAAAAAGGTCATTCTCTCCTACTACGACGCTGTGGCAGATCTCATCATGCTTGGCAGAGAAGACAGCCGAAAATATTTCGGAATAGAACCCTCAAAGATCATACAGCCATATTCTAAGTCTCAAATTCAGTGGCTACTTCAAAACACAGAGACATGGCCTATAGCCTGTGCTTCTTACCTTGGGGAGTTAGATAATCATTATCCCACGGATAGGCTTATCCAATTC